GGGAGGTGATCAGAATTTTCCATTGTCACCAGCACCGCTGTAGGTGTCTGGGTACTAGTTAGGTTCTGAGGGACCAACCTGTAGTTCAGAACGGTGGAAGCTGAGAAATGGGGGGGGGTGTTGGGTAAAAAGAATAGTTGTGGTTTCTTTGAAAACAAGCCGCATGATTGACTGGCTATATGAAAGTAAGTTGTAACCTATCTTCTCATCCTCTCAATTAGTTGGTCACCACTCCTGGAGGTGAGGCCTTGATCTCCAAGAGCCTGGTGCCTCCACTCTGGTTGCTACCACTTTTTTGCAAAACTTTGATAATTTCGCAGATGATGCAGATCAGCTATTAGTGCTAAAAAAGCAATAGGCTTTTATCTCAAGTGCATTTTAACTTAACAAAAAGTGTCTAACTTGAAACACCCAGATGCATCATAGTCACTTGAGACGAGAATATAACTGGATGTGTGCCCTGTATTTTCTGGTTGTAATATGCTGTTGGTATCTTACATGCTTCAACAGGAGCTAGGGACCCTATTGCTCACTTTTGGGTAACACCTGAGTCTATCAGGAGGTTTTTTTCTTGGAGCAACTCCAAGCTGGGACAGTAGTTTAAGAGAGAAACAAACCCTTCTGGAGTCAAATCTTCAATTTGACCTGGGCTGTGAATCCAGTCTTAGTGGTACTTGGCCAGCTCAGGGCATCTAGGTCTCAGATGAAATGATCTTCATGTCACCTCAGGAGGAAGAAGAGATTAATGACTGAGGAAGAGGTGGCCCTTCTGATGTGGCCCAGCTTGTGTCAGGGACTTGCCATTTCTCCCATCTGGAGTTCCATTCAAGGAGGCTGCTCTTTTATGTGGAGGGCCAGATATTTTATAGGGATGGTCTTGATCAGGTGTGTCTGATTATTTTCCTACCCCTTGTTACAGGTGGAGAGATGCTAATTAGATTACATAAGGAAGTTTCCAGCATGCAAGTTTCTGGGTATTGGGGGGTTCCAGAAAAAAGGGGCAGGTTGTGTAGATACAAGGAAGGAGGAAGGGACATGTCTAGCATAGAGACAGCTTGATGCAAGAAAGATAAGACCAAAAAACCTACATACAGCTAAACTAGACTATGATATTTGAACCCAGACTGTTTTCCTGCCTCAGCACTTGGCGCACATTATTTCTTTTTCTTGGAATAGTCACCATTCACACCAACTCTCCCACCAGTTTCCGTCTTTTAAAATCCTACCCATCCTTCAAGGTCCAGTTCAGATGTGACTGTTTTCATGAATCCTTTCTGACTTCATTTCCCTCTTTCAAAATAGATGTAATCTTCTCCCTGAAACTTAGACTCTGCCTCATGTTATATCTGTTTGTGGGCTTGTCCTACTTGCCCTTCCCTACATCTACATTTTAGGTCCTTGGTGGAACTCTCTTATCTAGCTTTGCAAAAATTGATCCTCTCCCTCCCAGTACTAGAGCTGGTACATAGGTGCTCAGTGATTACTGATTGATTTTGATCGATTAGTAATATCCCATCATTACCTGGAAAGAAGGCTGGGGTTGGTTACAGGCAGGAATTCTACAGTGCAGCAGATATCCACTAGAGGGTCACATGGAGTTGCTTGTTTATTTGTGCTCAGAACAGCTCTAGGTTTCCCCACCATTCTGTGTTTGAGCTGTACAATTCAGAAAAAATGTTGGTACCCTCAATATACATATGTCATAGGAATGCTGTGGTCATGAGTGACTCCGTCTTGGACGTTTAATAAGTTTGCTCATCATTCAAAGCTCCTAAGTGTGCAAATAATTTGATTTTGTAGATCTGATAACCAGAAATGCTCCTTAGAAGCATATGGTTCTCATATCTATACAATCAAGTTGCTTACATACTTAGGGGTAAGCATATTCATTAGAAATTCAAGATGGACTCACAATATGTGTTACAGCACTGGATCCTTATTTCTTTTATTGTGCTAGGCTCTCTACCTTCCTCTGTTTTTACCACCGTATGCTTGAGATCTTAATGATTTTTTTCATCCACCCCCTACCCTACTCTTTAACATGCTTCTCCTCCTCCTTGCTCCTTTCCCCTCCCTCTCCCTCAATGGAACATGGGATTAGAAGATCTGGGTTCAGGTTCCTTCTTTCCTATTTATTCTTAGTGTGCCCATGGGCAAATCACTTACCCTCCATGAACCTCTCCTTCCTCATCTACAAAAGGGCAGTAATAATACATTATTTATTCTATAAGAGTGTTGTGAGAAAAGTGGTTGGCAAAATGTAGAGTCCTATATAAATGCCAGCAGCTATTATTGTTGTTGGGACTACTTTGCTGAAAGTGTGGTGCCCCTGCTGCTCTGAGACAAATTAATATTAATAATATATAGGAGTAGTATTTCTCCTTCACAGTCAAGATCACCATATTCATTAAATTTTAGTTAAACCTGGTTTTTATTGACAAGCATATCTCTCATATTTATGGATCTTGGTAGCTCCCTGTCCCATCCCTGTGGATCTTCCCTGAATCCATCCCTGTGGATTGTTATAGTTTGCCTGCTTGCTTACCTTATCTCAGTTCTGTTTTGTGTCTTCCTAACCCTGGAACCATAGATGACCGGGACAATATGAGTCACAGAAATGATTAGCCTAGGTCCCCAGACCCAGAGCTCTTCTGGGTGATCTACCAGAATTAGATCTGGGGTTAGATTGAGTCTCTAAACATACATACATGTTCTTCCAATCATATTGATAGATGATTAAATGGCATCTGATATGTTTTGGAGTAGTCAACTCTGCAAGCAACCACACAGTGGCAGTTTACTATGGGAGAAATTTTTTATTAGCTCCTTAGAAGTTGGGAGGGGAGTTGGATAGATAATATATCCTATTCTTGTCCACAATTTAATGTTGTATTATAATGAAACGAGCATGGCATATTGGATAGAGAGCTGACTTCAGAACTGGTGAGACCTGGGCTCAGGTTCCAGCTCCCAGAGATCCCTACTGGTTATGTGACTGTAGGTAAGTCACTTAACATCTCAGTGCTCTGGGCAACGCCCTGTGACTGTAAGTTGCCCAGAAGGCGCTGACCTGCCCTTTGTTCAAGAAACTTACAGAGAACTCTCTGCACTTCTGAAATCAGAGGTCTACTGTGTAGACCTGTACTACAGTGAATTAATGTTTTGTCCATCCTTTCTTGAATGGCAGACTCCAAATTCTGATTTTAACTTGTAGCCAGAATGTTTTAGTGTAATAGAATACACACACACACACACACACACACACACACACACACACACTCCTGTATCTATCTATCTATCTATCTATCTATCTATCTATCTATCTATCTATCTATCTATCTATCTATCTATCTATCATACCTGTATCTTATCTATAATAAGTCTCATCCATTCTCAAAAGGGAGAGATGGATTCTAGGAAGTTACGTTCAGGAGTTTTCTTGTGTCACAACATGCCCCTGTAGTCAGCATGCATGCAGATAATTATGTTCTGCTTTGTGGATTAGCCACTATTATTTTAAAATTCTGGCTTATTTTTCTCTGCCATCAAGTTTACTTCTAAGCCATTTTTTTCTCACTATTAATTGATGTGTATTACAGATTTACAAATTTAAAAAAAAGTAATACTGAAATTTATAATTTAATGTAAAAATCATGTGATACATTACAAAGCCAAATAAACCTAATCTTTTCACTGTCAGTGCTCTACCGCTCCTTTCTTCTATTAGTATAATTTGAGGATTGACTCTGAAGTATACTGTAAATATTCCTATTCCTTAAAGTAAAAAATTGCTTCCCAACTAGAAAACAGTATGGCAGAAACTAGGTATAGACCCACATCTCACACCATATACCAAGATAAGGTCAAAATTGGTATATGATTTATACTTAAAGGGTGATACCATGAGCACATTAGGAGAGCATGGAATAGTTTACCTCTCAAATCTATGGATAAGGAAAGGATTTAGAACCAAACAAGGTATAGAGAGCATTATGAAATGTAAAATAGATAATTTTGATTATATAAAATTAGAGAAATGCAAATTAAAACAACTCTGAGGTACCGCTTCACACCCATCAGATTGGTTAATATGATAAAAAAAGAAAATAATAAATGTTTGAAGGGTTGTGGGAAAACTGGGACACTAATGTACTGTTGGTGGAGTTGTGAATGGATCCATCCATTCTGGAGAGCAATTTTGAACTATGTCCAAAGGGCTATAAAGCCATGTATATCCTTTGATCAAGCAATACAAAAGAGCAGGGGAGGGAAGGACCTATTTGTACAAAACTATTTATAGCAGCTCTTTTTGTGGTGGCTAGGAATTGGAAATTGAGGGTATGCTCATCAACTGGGTATGATTGAACAAATTGTGGTATATGATTGGGATGGAATATTACTGTGCTGTAAGAAATGATGAGCAGGATATTTTCAGAAAAACCTGGAAAGACTTATGTGAACTCAGGCAAAGTGAAGTGAACAGAACCAGGAGAACATTATATGCAGTAACAACAATATTGCATGATGAACAGCTATGAATAACAGCCATTCTCAGCAATACAATGATCTATGACAATCCCGAAAGACTCATGATGAAACATACTATCTGCCTTCAGAGAATATTCTCTGAATAAAGACTGAAGCATACTATTTTTCACTTTCTTTCTTTCATTCTTTTGTTTGTTTGAGTCTTCTTCTACAAAATGACTAATATGGAAATGTTTTACATAATTGTACATGCATAACCTATATCGAATTGCTTGCAGTCTCAGGGAGAAGGGAGGGAAGAAAGGGAAAGAGGAAAGAATAGAATTTGGAACTCAAAACTTAAAAAAAAGTATTAAAAATTGTTTTAACATGTAATTGGGGAAAATAAGATATTATTTTAGAAAATTGCTTCACCCATGTTTCTGTTAACTTTTACCACATCAATATATTATTGATCAGGAAACCTGTCAAGAATAATTTAATCTAACCTACTTTAACTCTTTTTTCTTTAGCGAGGAAAATATGATATTCCAAAATGGTTGTCTCCTGGCAGTATTCTACTTCTTCAACAAATGCTGCAGGTAAAATTTACTTTTAAGTAATTTTTGTCTAGTGAAATCACTACTTTCTGCTTTTCTGAAAATTTTTCAAGTTGTATTAAGTCTTTTCCTTGATTAGAACTTAAAAGGACCAACACTTTTCTCCCTTACCTCCAAATAATGACTCCTTCCTTATTTCTACTATATCATCCTTCATTAAAAACAAAAAACTTCATTGGATTCCTTCATTGAATTAAATTACATATGCTAGGTTTTTGAGGGCTCTGTCATATGTACTACCTGTATCTATACTTTAAAAAAATCTCTGGTTCTTTTTTCTACTTTCTAATTGACCCAAGCACTCTTTTCTCTCTCATAGCCTTATATTTGTCTATTTGGCATATGGCATGAAATGGAGGGAATAGTTTAATGTAATAAAGAGAAACTTGGTCTGGAAGAAGGGAGACCTAGGTTCTCACCTCCTTCCTGCCATTGACTACCTTAGTCAAGTCATTTAACATCTCTTGCACCTTCTCACATATGCAGTGGAGATGATAATCTTTAAGGGTTGTTGTGAGAATTCAATTAAATATTTAGTAGATTGTGAATAAGATATTTCTCAGAATCTTAATTTCTTTCTTGTCAACAAAAATAAAATTTATGACTCCAAACCAAAGCTCTGGAAGACAGTTTTGGAAGCCTCTCTCTAAATTCCCCTTGGTTTATTCTGGGGTTTCCTCTGGGAAAGTAAAATTCTTACTCATGTCTAAAAGTTGAGCTTCAACTTGACCCTCTTAGGCACTGAATATAGGGTATATTTTATTTTACCTAACAAGAAACACAAAGTACTTGTACTTGAGCCTATGACTAAGATACACATATACTTCTCTCTCTGCTGGGCTTCTGTCTACTCTGTATACTTACAAGTAAGCTTTCTGAAAAGTAAGCCGATGCTCAAGAACTGTAACTGTGGGCTCACATGGGTTTTGTTCAGTCTTGGAAGCTGTTTGGTAATTTTTTTGGGCTTGTTTTTGCCACTATATAGATTTGCCCTTAGGAATCAGTATTTGGTTTGTTTGATTAAAGGACCTGCAGTTCCCATTCAAGTACTCAGGGTAATCGAATAAAGTATAGGTTTTGTTTATCCCAACAAAAATCAGGAAGGACTCACAGTTAAGCATTAGGTCAGGAAGCTAGATTTGATGATCCTTCCATCGTTACCATTCTAGGACTGGGAAAATTCAACATTTGAAATACTGAAAATCTAATATTATAGTATGTTAATGCAATATGGGTTACTATTGCTATATATCTGGAACCCATTTTCATTTACCATTTCCTTTCTTTGTCAAAATCCAATTCTGGTTCATCTGCCTTGGTTAAGTAGGGCATATGCAATTAATTGTCCAGAGCAAGATTGGCAACATCTAATCCTTGACGATGTCACCTTTCTGCTGAAAAAGCTTCGTTTGTTCCTTGGTGCCTCATTGAAAGCCCTGTGCAGTCTGATTCCAGCCTACCTTACCAGACTTATTACGCCTGACTTCCCTTCTTGCACTTTATATTACAGCTAAAATGGCTTCCTTGGTGTTCCTCGTCTTTCTCCATGCCTTTGTCCAAGCTGTCCCTCTTGTTCTCCTCCTCTGCTTCTTGGAAGCCCTACTTCCTTCAAAGCTGAGCCCTGAGGAGAGGCCTTTCCAAACCACCTCTTTCCCCCTAGCGACTATTAGAGTATCCCATTTTACTTTGTACTTTTCCATGTATCAGGCGTTCATTCCCTTGGATTGCAATATATGTTCTTCGTGGACAAGGAGTGTTTGATTTTTGTCTTTGTATCTAGCACAATTTTAGGCACACAATAGATGCTTAATAAATACTTGCTGATTGATTTTTTTTTCTTCCCATCATCCTTACATCTGAAAACTATATGGATTTAATGAAAGAGTATCCTTTTTGAAGTATTTTATTTGATTGTAAGTTTTTTGGAAAAGGCATGTTGTATATTTAATACGGCACCCAGTGTTGTGACTGCTTACATCTTAAATTACTAAATATTTATTTCCTAAGGTTATGTTTTTTGGCAAAAATATGTTATAATAGATTTACTGGCTGAACTTTATGAATAATGTCTATGTCAATAAAGTTAATTCTGCTTGGCACTTAACTTAAAAGCCAGTATTGATTGCTATAGGATTTTGTTTTGTTTTTTGCCTGGATTCACATTTCAGAATATCTTATACCAAGACCACTGCAACATGGCATTTTCGTGATTATAAAGTTTTTAACTGTTCGAATGAAGTTTGAGCCCTTAGGAGAAAAAGTATTCTATCCATTTGAAAAAGGTAATCTCTGGCCAATTCTCAATGGCCACTAGGTGGACCCAAAGAAACGGATTTCTGTGAAACATCTGCTGAGCCACCCCTGGATCATGCAAGATAACTTGTGTCCTGTTGAATGGCAGAGTAAATATCCAGTGAGTATAATGGAAATATTGTTTATACTGTTTTGTGTTTTTTGGTCTAATCCTCATCAAAAATTAGGATGCTTTAAAATGCTAGATGATGATTTTCATGATGTTCTACTTGGTTCTTTACCTTTGTATTCTTCTTATCCTCAGTTGATAGGACTGTACCATTGTTAGCCCCAAGAAATCCTTGGAAATACAGAGCAGAATATGCCACTCTCACTGTTGCTTGACTATTTTTATAATTCTGCAACTGGATTCCAGATTGACCCTATTCCCTCCCCACTAGCCCAGCTAAACTTAGCTCATTCTTCTTTTGTCTTATCAATATATGAACTATGAGCATCACAGCTTAAACTTGATTTCAAGAGCTATTAATTGCAATTATGTAAGTGCAACAATTTGTCATATGGTTGCAGTTATCTATAGCAAATATGATTATTTCCTTTTTTTGGACTTTAGTAATTGTAATCTTTTAAATTTAATGTAAATCTCTTAGTTTAATCCCTTTCAGTTCTAAAATCCTATGCTTCTATGATGATCTAATGACATTAAGAGAGTAGACAATGTAAAATGCCTACACGTGGCCATTGGGTGTCGTCACTTCTCCATGTAAGGTTTTTTCATGGAATCTCAGTTTCTAGTCACACCCATAAACCTCATGAAAAAATGTGTTATAACAACACGAAATAAAATAAAGATGACATGTTAGATGAAAAAGAGCAGGTGTATATTTTCCTTATCTATTCTAAAAATTTTTTCCCCTAATTTAGGACTATAGTAGAAAGAATAAGTATCTTAGAAAATTTAGCTATTATGAGAAAGAATATAAACTTTATCTTTTAATGGAACAGTAGCAGTTCTTACCTAAATGTATACATTATCTGAAATATGGTGAGTTCTGTGATTAAAAAAAAATCTGCTTCTAACACTTGCAGTTCCCTTTTATCTAGTTACTATACTTGAGTCACAGAGCTGGAATTAACATGATGCTGCCAGGCCTTGATCCCTCACTAGGATCTCATATCCGTGTTCCTAGTGGAGCCTATTTCTCTCAGAGTGTCACCTTGCTTGGGGATCCACAGGCCTCTTGGGTTCAGAAAGGGAATCAGTAAATACTTCCCTGGTGTTCTCCAATCCTTATCTTCCTCTGTCTTCCCTTTCTACTGTTTCCTCTGGAATTTAACTGCCTTGCTAACAAACTTTCCTTTGACCTAAATCTCTTCTTTTTCTTTTCCTTCCGTCATTTCATTGATATCTGGTCTTTTCTTAAAGATGCCAAATTCTTTTGACACCCTCTCTAAGACTGACTCTTCCTTCACTGATGTCTCCTGACCAGGACTAGGAATTAGCAAAATGTTTCTTGTTTCTAGCTGCTACTTTCAGTTTTTCTTTCTGCCACCATCATTCAGCAAATACCTCTCTGCCTTTAAAATTCACTCCTTCCTGTCTAGATCCTTGTTGCTGTCATCTATGGATGTTAGATCACACTCTCTCCCTCCCAGTAAATTTTGTACCACAGTTACATTCTTCTCCATCTTAACCCTTGCCTTGTTCACACATCATGCCTCTCTGTTCTGCAGCTCTCATGTCCTGTACTGATTTTTCTTTCTTTAAGCTTCTTCAGCCATTTCATCTGGAGACCTGCTTCTCCTTCTGTTTGCCTCCCCCCTTATCTAAGTACGTTGCAGGTGATGGAATAACTAGTTATGACGATTAAACCATAGCCTTACTGCTGTTTTTCCCTTCTTGTTTTCTAGAATAGAGACACTGAGCAGTGATAAACTGTGACCTCAACATAGCTATGTCCCACATTGTTTTTATGTAGTGATGCTAAGTATTAATGAATAAAACTAGTGTTCTATTTTAATTTCCAACAGAATTTTTGTTAATCTAATTATTCATGTTGCCATTATAGTGTGGACGTCTTGATGAAGACTGTGTTGTAGAACTTTCAGTATATTATAAACACAACAGACAATTAATGGAAGACTTAATTTCATTGGTAAGAACAATGATTTGTTACATGTTTTTTTTCTGTCTACTTTATTTAAAATGTTTTTCCTGTTTTTATGAGCACAATATGAAAGCTTACTGATTGTCTTTATTGCAAACTTATATTGAAAATGAACTCATTTTAAATTTCAGCACTATTCCTACTTATAATTTTTCTGATGTTTTCTGGCCTTCAGTAAAAGTAGAATACTATGCCAGTGATGCTGATTTGAGATAGGATTGTGGTGACAGTGTTCTCTAAGCTATTTTCCCTGTAGGTAAGCAAATCATCCCTATATTCTCCTTTACTCTCCAGTTAATTTGGATTACTTCCCCTATCTGATGCTTCCTCTGCTTCTGCTTACGTGCTACTAAACAGAGCTAGAGAATAAGTCATACAATTGTGCTAACTGGATACACTATAAATTCATGTTATCTGTCTTCAACTGGGCTCTCACTGCAGCAAGGCAGTCCTTTTGTTCTTCCCCAGTTGATTCCCTAGTTTATTCCTAGAGAAGCTATTCTAAACCATATTTTATTTCCTCAAGCTTCTAACATTCTCTCACCTAAGGACCTTACCTCTTATTTTACTGAGAAAATTAAGACCATTTGCCATAAGTTCCCTCTTCTTCTAAAAACCTCTTGACACCAGCTTCCCCTCTCACTTCAATCTCTGATAATGATGTGACCCTTCTTGATTTCATGCCCTCCCTTGTCCCACAGCAGATGTCCTTTCATCCTCTCCCTATACTGGATCCTTCAGACATTCCCAAGTGTCTCCCATCCTCAAAAAAATCTTGAAGCTGTTGCTCTTTGTCTTTCCCCCTTTTCTCAACCATACTTATAGAAAATTATCTCTACTTTCTGTCCTCTCACTCCTTAACCTTTGCTGTCTTTTATTTCACACTTATCTAAAGTAGAACTTCTAATTTAACTATTGTCATACTGTTTTATTCTTACCCTACATGTAATGCTCATGCCCATTTTTATGAATCATTTAATCATGAAATTTTAGTGTTTTCTGCTGTTTAGTTACCTTAAACTTTCTTTTTCTTTTTTTAGACAGTTGGGGTTAAGTGACTTGCCCAGGGTCATACAGCTAATCACGTGTCAAGTGTTTGGTCTGAGGCCGGATTTGAATTCAGGTCCCTCCTGACTTCAGGGCAGGTGCTCTATCCACTGCACCATCTTGCACCCTACCTTAAACTTTCTACCTTTATATAATGTGATTGTCCTCTCAGTGATCTTTTCTTGAAATAGATATATTTGTACTTACATATTGAATGAAAGGGAATTGTAGTATAGATTCACAAAACTTTCTTATTCAATATTTTTAAAAAGTGTTTAAAAAATTTTTTTGGGGGGGTCAGCTAGTGGCGCAGTGAATAGAGCACTGGCCCTGGAGTCAGGAGGACCTGAGTTCAAATCCGGCCTCAGACACATAATACCCACTAACTGTGTGACCCTGGGCAAGTCACTTAACCCCATTGCCTAGGCAAATGAAAAAAAAAATTCTTTTCGTTTTTTATAACTTGCAAGGTAAGGAATTTACCAAATAAATATTTTTACTGAACTGTGACTATGAGGAAGCAGTAAGATGCAATAGAAAGAGTGCTGAACTTGGAGTAACAGACCAAAGTTTGAATCTGAGCTCTGCCATGTACTACCAGTATGACCTTGGCCAAGTGTCTTAACCTCTCTAAGTCTTAGTTTTTTCATTTGTAGAGTGAAAGGTTGGACCAAACGACCTCTAAAGTTCCTTCCAGCTCTAGTCTGGTCTAGTCTAGTCTAGTCTATATCTTTCTAGTCTGTGATCCTGTGATCCAATGGCATTAAACACCTGCTGCTGTTGTCTTTTGAGCCTTTAGTATCCATCTTGATGTTCCTTTTCCCTCCCTGACCATATATTTCTTGATCTCTGCTGTTCCAGTGACCTCCAGCCTACTTCAGATACACAGTGGTCACCTTGCAGCCCTTGTCACATGGAACTACTATATTAGCTTCAAAATCCTGACTTTTGAAATTCTGCTCTCCCACTCATTCATTTACACCATTAATAATGACTGATATTTGTCATTATTTCATGCATTATTTCATTTGAGCCTCTTAATAACTAATCCTGTAAGGTGTAGGTACTAAAGATATTTTTCCCATTTTACAAATGAAGCCTAGAGAGGCTGTGACTTTCATATTGTCACACAGCTAGTTTTAAGTTTCAGAAATGGGATTTGAACTTATGTGTTCTTGACCTCAGGTCTAGTGGTTTATCTACTATGCCATATTCTTTGTTTTTATTTTGATCTCTAGTCGTCAGCCTCTCCCTTTTCTCTTTGTCTCTACTACTCAGCCTGGACTCTAGGTTCAGATGCTTTAATAATTCACTGGCTACCATTCTAGAATCTTTTGCTTTGTCTTTTATTCCCAACTTATGATTCGTGTGTAGCTTCCTCCATTTGGTTCTTCCATTCCTGACTACAATTGCTGAACATCACTAAAGAAAGTCATTGGTATCCAGTTATGAGGCACTAAACCTCTCTTGAGCTCTTACTGCTGAGCACTTTTTGTCTCACATATACCATTCCTTATTCCCTACAGTGGCTGTTGTAAATCCTTGTCTTATTCTTCAAACTTTCAAACCTCATCCCCCAACATATAAAGCAGATGACCCAGTTTCCTACTTAACTGAAAAAACAAAACCTGACATTAAATTCTGGGAGCTTGCCCAGCTGTCTTCCTCCATATCTAAAAACTTCTTGGCGTGTTTACCTATTTTCCTTTTTTTAAAGGAAAAGGCATTGCTTTTCCTTACCAGTGCCCTTTGGTGTACAGGGCTGATTCCCTTTACCTGTGCTCTCTGACCACTTCCTTCTCCCCTCTAAGACCTGATTCCATCAAGTCCCCCTCTCTCAAACATCTTAAAAATTGTTGATACTTTTTAAACGATATTGCCATTTCCCTATATCCTTCTTTTACCATCTCCCTTGTAATGAAGAATTCTTTCCTGAATATGTAATATCTCATTTTTATATTGGTTCCCTTCCTTCTACCTATGAACATGTTTAGGTCTTGTTAATTCTAAAAACCTGATTCTTTTGATTCTTCTTTCTCACTGAACTACTGCCTTATCTTTCTTAAGCTAGGCTGCATGCCGTACCTTCACATCCCCATCACCTACTCACTCCTTACCCCCTATATTCTGCAATTCTGCTTTTGCATTGTTGGTAATCCAAAGACTTCTTCTCACTCTTCATTCTCTTTGATTTTTTTCAGTATTCGATACTGTCAGTTACTCCTTCTGCCTTGTGCCATCTTCTCTTCTACCTCTAAACTCTCTCAACTCTATGCAGATATACATATACAGACCCAGGCTCTTCCCTGAGTTTCAGTCCCATTTCATCAATTGCCTATTGGATATTTCAAACTGGGTATCCCAGAGACATCTCAAATTCAACATGTCTAGAGCTGAATTTACCTTCACCTCTTCTAAACTTCCCTATTTCTTTTGAAGGCACCACCATCTTTCCAGTGTCTCAGGTTTGAATTTTGGCGTTATCCTCATCTTCCTTATTCTCCCTCACCACACAAATAAGGGAATAAGAGAAAGGAATAAATATTTATTAGGCACTACTATGTGCCAGGTACTATGCTAAGTGCTTTTACAAATGTTAGCTCATTTGATCCTCAGTAGATAGATGGTAGATGCTATTTTTATCCCCATTTTACAGTTGAGGAAACTGGACAGACAGATTAAGTGACTTGCCCAGGGTCATACATCTCATAAGTGTCTAAGGCTATATTTGAACTTAGGTCTTGACTCTCGGCTGTGAGCTTTATGCATGCTGCACCACAGCATCTCTTACATCTGCCTGATTCTCTCTGTCCTTTCAGTTCGGTCCCTTATCACCTCTAGCCAGGATTATTATAGTCACTTCCTAATTGGTCTCCCTCCTTAAGACTTTTACCACTCCACTCCATATTACACAATGATGCCAAAGTAATTTTCCTTAAGTGCAGATATGATCATGTTGCTCTCCTACTCAATTGGAGTGAAATGCTTTGTTTATATTTGTAAGTATTAACTTCTTTATACTTCATATACTTTTGCATGTACTTGTACTTTGACATTTCTGTTTGTAGTTGTCTCCCCCCGTAGAATGTAATTTCATTGGAAGTAGGGATTATTTCATTATTTGCATTTGGATCCCCACTTCCTAGAACAGTGCATGGCACATAGTGCGTAATAAATATGTACTGGATTGTTGACAGATATTTTTTCTCTGGCTTCTGTGTTACCACAGGCCTGGCTCCCCTCACACTTCTCCTTTACTGGCTCTTCTTCTTGACCCTTTGATTTTGTTGTTTGTTAAGATTTTGTCCTCAGCCTTTATTTTTTTTCCCCTTCTGGCTCTCTATTTTCTCTTTTGGTATTTTCATTCATTCTCTCAGCTTTAATTTTCACTTCTACTCAAATGACTCCCAGTACTATATCTCTTGGCCTTGATATTTGCTCAGGCTCCAGTCTTCTATCTCTAGTTATCTGTAAGATTCAACCTAGGCAATTTGAACTCAGCATGTCCAAAAATTACCTTTCTTCCCAAATCTATTCCAACTTTAACTTCTCTATACTCCCTTCTTCCTTCAGTCCATCCTTCATACCATATTTGTGTGATATAAATGACAAGGAAAGAAGACCATATGTCAAATTAGTCTTTATGAACTAAAATAACCTCAACAATACAATTGAGAGCTGTCAAAATAGCTTGTTCAATTTATAACAATAGGAAATTTAATTTGTTGTCTAACTTATGCAAAAGTTTTCAGTCTGTTTTGCCTGGGAAAAAGGACAGTTTTCAGCTCTTACAAATATGAAAGTAATTGTTTCTTGTTTAACCATTGTATCTGACCAATTTAATGTATCCATCACATATCAACATTCTAAGAGGTACAGTAAATATATTATGTAGTATAGAAGGCAGACAGTGACAGGTTTAAGATTAGAGGTAAATAGATTTAATATCATTATCTCTGATACTTCCACCACTCTCATGCATGCTCTCATCTTCTCATGTCTGCACTATTGCAACAGCTGGCTGGTGCATCTGCCTGTCTCAAGTCTCTCCCCATTCCATTCCATCATCTGCTATTCATCTACTAATGTGATTTTCCCAAAGTATAGATCTGACTATGTCACCCTCCTACTCTAGTGGTCCCCCCTCATCTACAGGATCATATACAAAGTCCTTCATAACCTATACCCCTCTCCGTTTCCATCTTCTCACACCTTACTACCTGACATATACTCTTCAATCCAGTGACACTAGCTGCCTTACTGTTTCTTGGATAAGACACTCCCATCTCTCAGTTCCAGACGTTTTCTCTGTCTGTCTGTCATGCCGAGAATATTCTCCTTTCTCATCTCCCCTACTGACTTCTCTAGCTTCCTTCAAGTCCCAACTAAAATCTCCCTTTTTCCAGTCCGAATAGTCCCTACTCTCTGTTGATTACTTCCTCTTTATCCTGTGTACAGCTTGTTGGTACGTGGTTGTTTACATGGTGGGTCCCCTATTAGGTTACAAGTTCCTCCACTTCAGGGACTTTTTGTCTTTTGCCTTTCTTTCTATGCCCAGCTCCTAGCACAGGGTCTGGCACATAGTAAGTGCTTTATAAATACTTATTTACTGTTTTTATTTCTTATCTCCCCCAGACAATTCTCTAAGATGATAAATTGCTTTGATAAGGGGGCGTTACTCTTGGGGGCATTTCCTACACAGATCAAATCACAAGTCATGACCAGAAACTATCACGATATGAAGCAGGGGTTGGCAAACTACAGCCTACAGGCCAAATTCCCCCTGACCACCTGATTTCGTATACCTGTTGCGCTAAGAATGGTTTTTCTATTTTCAAAGTGGGCTGAAGTTTTCTGGCCCTTCATATAGAGTGCAAATTTATGGTAGGGTCAAGAGTTACACAGTTCTAGTAATAACTTGTTTCAGAAACCAGTATAATTAGTATTCCAAACAGTTGTGTGTTTTGTTTTTCCCCAGTGGCAATATGATCAACTTACAGCTACTTATCACCTACTTCTTGCTAAGAAATCTCATGGAAAACCAGTTCGATTAAGGCTTCCATCTGTCAGTGGAGAACAAACAAGTGCTCCTTCCTTCAAAGAACTACAGGTAAATTTGAGGTCTTTTTGTTGTATAATGTGGTAGTCTGCAATTCATTCATAATGTGGTTGGTTCTTAATTCTCACTGTTATGAGACAGTTGTAGTGTTTGAAAAGCCAGCTTTGCCAGTGAGAAGAAGCCAGAATAGAGCTATTTCAAAACATATTACTAAAAATTCTTAACAAGGGGAGCTTTGGGTAGAAAAATAAACAACTTAGAAGTTAGGCTGGGAGATTAGTCCAGTATGAGATGGTGTGAGCCTGAACTGGGTGGTAACTGGAAAGAATAAAGGGTCAGATATGAATGATATTACAAAGAAAGGGCTGACCAGACATGAAATGACAGAATTATAGAATTGGAAGAAATGTTAGAAGTCATCGAATACAATACCCAACCTAATGGTTGAATCTCTTCTATAGTATCCGTAGCAAGCAATCGCAAGTCACTTCTTGAATACAGCCAATAGTTAGGATCTCACTGTCTATTGAAACGCTTTTGAATTTTTGTAATAAATCCATTTGTTAGGAAGTTCTTTAGATTGACCTGAAATCCCTGTGACTTTCAGTCTTTAGTCTGAGGTCTCCCTTGGGGCCAAGCAGTGAGTCAAGAAGCACAGTTATTAAATGTTAACTATGTGCCAGAGGGTGTGCTAAACAATTGTGGATACAGAGAAAGGCAGAAAACCAGGTCCTGCCCCCAGGGAGCTCACACTCTAATGGGAGAAACAACATGCAAAAACTGTACCTGCAAGATATATCATACCGGGGAAGTAGAAGGCAGTGGAACTGGAGATTGGTTTTGGGCTGGAGGGGTGGCACAGCAGCCAGGAATGACCTATAGAAAGTGAGAATTGAGCTGTGGAGGCAGAAGGGAAGAGAAAGAGCATTCTAGGCATGGGAGATAGCTGTGAAAAGGTGTGAAGTCACCAGAATATGGAATGTGGCATGTGAGGACCAACAAGGCCAGTGTCTCTGGATCGTAGAGTATGTCGAATGAAGTGTAAGGAGATTGGAAGAGTAGGAAGAGCGAGAGAATTTTATGTTTGATCCTGATAGCAAGAAAGAGCTTTTGAGTTGGAGTGGAGGATGGATTGGAGTGGGAGAGATTGGAGGTAGGGAGGCTGGTTAGAAGGCTTATGGCATCGGTCCAAGCAAGAGGTGAGGAGGGCCTATATTTCTTTCACTTTTCCTGCTCTCCAACCATCCTTCCCACCCCATCAGAAACTTGGACTCTGTCTTTGACTGCCCCTGACTTTTGCAGTTGAGCCTTTTGACTGATTTAGCTGAGAACTGGGTCTCCTCAATGTTCCCCTGCAGTCTGTCCACCTTGTCCTCCCCAGCCCCCTGCTTCCTAGCATGCTCCCCTCACCCCACCATATGTGATCTTCCTTTATAGAGCGTACAATCCTGATTCCTTGTGTACAGCCCAGTGGTCAGCAATAATAGTAATAGTAATAGTAAGCAATGAAAGTTCTGTCTCATTATTGACTTATATGAAAACATTGATGCTGTGTTTATCAGATTTTTAGGTAAGTCAAAGTTGGGAGGGATTTTAACACGTTAGGTGACGGAAATAGTATACAAAAGGATCTGAATCTAATAAGATGAAATTGAATAGGGACATAGGACAATCATTGTGATAACTGACTTTTTATATCACTTGGCAGTTTGCAAAGGACATTGCCACATTTGAACCCTGAGCATTCTAGGAGGGAGATACTACAGATATTGTTATGCTCAATTTACAGATAAGGAAATTGAGGTTCAGAGAAGTTAAGTGATCTGTACATGGTTATATAGTTGGAGTAAAGGGCAGAATTGGAACCCAGGTCCTCCCGACTAACATATCACCATTCTGTCCACTATGCTATGCTACCTTTCACAGCTAGTTTCTTTCTTTTCTTTTTTGTTTTTTTAATATTTTTAACATTCACTTAAAAGGTTTTTTTGAGTTCTTAATTCTTGTTTTGCTTCCAGCCTCTCCCTCACCAAGGCAAGCAATATGATCCTGATTATATATGTGAGGTCATGCAAAACATATTTCATATTAGCTATGTTGCAAAAAGCAAAAACAAAAAACTGCAAGAAAAGTAAAGAAAATGAAAAATATGTTTCAATCTGAACTTAAGCTCTAGTTCTCTCTCTGTAGGTAGATAGCATTTTTCATCATGAGTCCTTTGGAATTGTCTTGATTCATTGTATTGATCAGAGTTGCTAAGTCTTTTGCAATTGATCATCATTACAATACTGCTGTAACTGTGTACGATGTTCTCCTGGTTCTGTTCACTTCACTTTGCATCAGTTCATATAAGTCTTCCCAGGTTTTTCTGAAACCGTCCTCCTTGTCATTTCTTATAGCATAAGAGTATTCCATCATAATCATATACTACACCTTGTTCAGCCATTCGCCAGTTTCTGAGTATCCCCTCAATTTCCAATTTTTTGTTACCATAAAAAGAGCTGCTATAAATATTTTTGTACAAAAATATTTTCCTTTTTCTTTGATCTCCTTGGGATACAGACCTAGTACTGGTATTGCTGTATCAAAGGGGATGCACAGTTTATAGCCCTTTGGTCATAGTTCCAAATTGTTCTTCAGAATAGTTGGACTAGGGCAGCTAGGTGGTGCAGTGGATAGAGCTCTGGCCTTGAAGTCAGAAGGACATGAGTTCAAATCCAGTCTCAGACACATGACACTGACTAGCTGTGTGACCCTGGGCAAATCACTTAACTCCGACTGCTTCACCACAAAACAAAACAAAACAAAACAGAATAGTTGGACTAGTTCACAACTCCGCTAACAGTGCATTAGCAGTCTCTATTTTTCTACATCCCTTCCAGCATTTGTCTTTTTCCTTTTTTGTCATGTTAATCAGTCTGATTGGAGCTCTCAGTTAGTTTCCAGAAGTACTCTACAGAGTTATAGGATATGGAAGGTGTGTCTAGATAGATGATAGTTTGTGTGAAAGAGATATGGTGATGTTAGTGAACTCTGAAACTCAATAATATGAGGCCATAGAGTGGTAATGACAACCAAAAAACTAATAAAATGAAGTGTTAGTAATAGGGAAAGGGAAGGAAATATGCTTTTGTATAGTGTCTGCTATGTTCCAGGCATTGTGACAAGCACTTTACAAATTTTATTTCTTTTGATCTTCACCACAGTTCTTCAAATTGAATGCTATTATTATCATCCCTATTTTATAGATGAGGAAACTGAGGCAAACAGGTTTAAGTGACTTGCCCAAAGTCACTCAGCTAGTTAAGTGTCTGAGAATGGATTTGAACTTAGGTGTTCCTGACTCCAGGCCCTGCATTCTATCCAGTGCACTACCGGAGGTGGTGTGTCATAGAGGTGTGATGTTCAGAACAAGGGCGGTGATAGTTTCATTTGTACTGCATCCAGACTATGTCTGGAATGTTGTGTTCAGCTCTGTAAACTATGTTTTGGGAAGGACGTTGATGTTCTAGAGCTCATTCATAAGAAAACTCAGGATGGTGCAAACAGATGCTCTGTCAACAGGATTGGGTGAAGGAACTGGGGATATGTAGCTTGGAAAAGAGATTTGGGAGAGACATGATCGCTGTACTTAAGTATTTGAAGGACTGTTATGTGGAAGACTGATTAGACTTGTTCTACTTTAGTTCTAGAGGGCATAACTAGAAGCAGCGGGTAGAATTTGCAAGGAAGACAGATTTAGGCTTGGTGCAGTTACAGACTTCCCATAAAGTTAATTAGAAGTAGGATGGGCTTCTTCATGAGGTAGAGGTTTCTTTGTCATGAGAAGCCTTCAAATAGAGGCGAGGTGACTGCTTGTGAGGGATGCTGCAGAAGAGATTTATTTTCAGGTATGAGTTCCCAGCTTTAAGATTTCATGGGATGTGGAAATATGTCTTACAGTTTGAAAAAGTGGTTGATTCACAAAGGGCCACCCCTCCCTCCTTCCCTCCAGGAGTGTATCTAATTTTCAAACTAGTTTTTATAGATAATCCATTTAACTATTCTTCACCTCCCTTGCCTCAGACACTGAATAGTTAAAAGAATCTGAGTTTGAACATGTGGCTCACGATAATGATAGTATTGTATTTGAAATCTTAAAATTCCTACTTATTTATGAACTATATGAGGATATTTCATCTGCAGAGATATCTTTAAAGACTCCCAAAATCATACAGGGAATTTATCTTAAATACAAATTAATTTAAAATTATATGTAAACTGTTCAACTTAAACACATTGATGAAGTAGGAAGCTAATATTGAAAATATATTGTGTAGAGATTTGCAGTTTTACGTACAATCATTTCCTCTTCTACAATGTATATAGAAGTACTCATTTTGGTTGGTGTTTATCGAGTTCAGAATAACAAGAAAAGAAAAAAAACAAAGTGTGTAACTCATTTCAAGCCAGAGATCATGCATGAAGGAAAATCTAGCAGTGTCCTGGTTCCATAAACACAAGCTTTAATTTTAGGTACCATATACCTTTTTGTCATAGATTCTTTCCTCTCCTAGGGATTTTCCTTTGAATTAATGATTGATTTTTTTTTTCTTATTTAAAAAAAAAATCTGTCATATTTTCTGTTGTATTCCCTAGCCCCAATTAATTCCAGAGCTTTCCCTCTTTTAATTATTTCCTATTTATCCTGTATAAAGCTTACTTTTTATTTATTTTGTTAATTTATTTTTATTTATTTATCTTCTCCTTTGGACTGTCTTTTGCCTCAGTGCCCCTGCTTAGCACAGTACTTGGCACATAGTAGGTGATTAGGTCTTTTCCTTTTGGGGTCCAGGTCCCATCACCCCATCAGTAGGTGCTTAATAAATGTTTATTGATTGATTAATCAACAAGTCTATTGATATGGGGACCAAAGAAAAGACTTTGAACCTTAACTTAAGGTGATTGACATTTACTAATGTCAGCTGAATCTACATGTCCTTAAACATACAGGCATTGTTAATTCCTTTTGGTTCTGTTGAATTTTTAAAAATGTGTTGGATGATAATTTTTAAATGATTAGAGTGTGATATAAAACATTAACTTTTTCTCTACTGCAATGAGTTTTCATCCAATAACTTTTTTTGTAGCTCACAAAGCAATGGACGGAATCAAACGATGTGGAATCTAAGCCATTAACTCCAATATTGTGCAGAGCAGCCACAAAGAAATTGGAGAACAAAGAAAATGTGTGCATGCCTAAGTCTGCTGTGAAGGATGAAGAACACTTTGTGCTGCCTGTTCCAAAGACTCCTGTTAGCAAGAGCATGCATGAAAGAGGAATATTAACTGTACCAAATCCTCCTGCTCCTTGCAAAGGTATAGATTGTGTGCATATTGGAAGTTTGGATTAAGTAGTAGTGAGAAAATAGTGGTATTTTTGAATACTAGCCTTACATCAAGTAAGTCAAATGCCTGTATGGTAGTTAAGAGATGGATGACCAACCTTTCCAAAAAGATCTTCTACAAGAATCTAAACTTCTTTTAATCTTCCATGGTTTCTGTTACTTAGAAAGTAAATATAGTCAACTCCCACTTAATCCACATCTAATATTTGGGGCCATTGAGGCAGACATCTGCTTATTTTCTGTTTTCTATAAAACATTACTGCTGGAGAATTACAGCTCCTCCAGTGCCAGGCCTTTACCTGGCGCAGGCAAACTTATTGGTGAGAACAGAAAAGCATCCCTGGTGTCATTGGAAGGAGGATTGTATCTTTTGAAGAGATCAGTGCCTCCTTTAAATGCAAATAACAGATGTCTGTTGATAGATACTTAACACTTTCAAAAAAATCTTAGAGTAAAAACAAAATTCCCTGTGGCTCAGGGCTGAAATTAGGTACTCAATCTATTTATACTCCTATTATGTTACATTAAAGGTTGCAGAGTAGTTAGGGCAGTGCAAAGTACTCAGGATTCAGAGTCTGAGGACCTGGATTTGAAGCCCAGCTCTGCTGCTTATTATTCACACCCTCATAGCAAGCCATTTACAAAATCATACAATGCAAAATTGGAAAGGTTCCTCCCAGCCCTGCCTCTGTCATCATGGCCTTCTCAGGTTTAGAGGAGACTTGGATTTATTGTGGTACTTTATTGGCCAAAAGCTATAGGGAACAAGCTTGTGACAGAAAACATAGCTAAAAATTTCTTCTTTTCTGAGAATTATAAGGCTTCACATTCAACGAGGCATGTTCCCTTCTCCTCCCATCTTTATGGCTTTCAGAACTGTAGCTCTGTTTCTGTTCCTTCCCAAATGTCATACAATCATCAGTCCTTAATTGTTTATGCCCATTATACAGTCGTTAACCTGCATCAATGTGCATGTCTCTGGACAAAAGTTAGTTTCTTTCAGTCATTTTCTTCCTAAATACCGACCTTCGACATCCCTTCTTCCCCACCCCCCCTTTGATTTCTATCACGTTTTCCAGACATCTAGTCATTCATCCTAAGATATGTGGCTAAATCTACTGCCAAGCAAGGGGCAAAGGAAGGGTAGCCCTCACAGCTTCCCTTAGCATTATCAGACTTTTTAACCTGTCTTGTTCAGGAGTTTATGCTACCATTCCAGTCCCTAGCGAAATGTAACAGAGAGACCTTAAATATCATTTAATCCATTTTACAGTCCAGGAAACTGAGATCCTTACCAATTAAATTGCTTGCTTCCACATGGTCAGGTGGAATTTGAACCAGATTCCTTTGACTCCAAATCCAGTGCTTTCTACTGCGCTGTGTTTATATAAACAGTTTAATTTTTTGTGGTAATGTTTGGTGTTTTCCATGTGCAGTGCCTTCTGACTTATTTCTTGAAGAAAATATTCACGTGTAGGCATGAGGCATCTAAGTAATTTTTATTTAATTTCTTAGTCATGAATCATGTTTTACAAACTCCATTTAAAGTCTTTTACAATCTATCTCCAACCTTCCTTCAGTCTTATTCTACACCATACCCTTTCATGTGCTCCATGTTTCAGTCAAACTCACCCACTTGCCGTTCTTCGTACCTAACGTTCTGTCTTCTGTTTATGTGCCTTTGCACTCATGTTTGTTTCTGGAGTCACTAATTTGAACTTGGCTCAAATATTACCTCTGACTTAAGGCCTTCCTGATCCCCCAACTGCCTCCCCCTCCAAACTGACTTGTATTTATTTTGTAATATGTATGTATACATTTTGTCTCCCCTTACAGAATATAAGCTTCTTGAGGGCAGAGATTGTTTTATCTTTTACTTCCAGGGCCCTGCACAGTGTCTGACACATGGGTGCAATAAATGCTTTATTAATTGTCCTTTCCTATACTTTCTTCACTTTGAAGTCACCAAGTAATCAAGTTGCATATTGATTTGACCTTTGAGAATTTTGTGAAGTTCTTTATAGAATTTCTGTATTTCTTTTTTTTAATTAATTTATTGTGATTTATCAACAATCACTTCCATAAGCTTTTGAGTTTTAAATTTTTCTCCCCCTCCCTCCCCACGATGACGTGCAATCTGGTATAGGCTCTACATATACATTCCTATTAAACATATTTTCACATTAGTGATGTTGTAAGGAAGAATTAGAACCAATAGGAGGAACTACAAGGAAGAGAAAACAGAAGAAAAAGCTGCAATTAAAACTCCATAGTTCTTTCTTTGGATATGGATAGCATTTTCCATCATGAGACCTTTGGAGATGTCTTAGATCCTTGTATTGCTGAGAAGGGCTAAGTCTGTCAACGTTAGTCATCGCACAAGCGTGTACAACGTTCTCCTGGTTCTGCTCACTTCACTCAGCATCAGTCCATATAAGTCTTTCCAGGTTTTTCTGAAATCTGCCTGCTCATCATTTCTTATAGCACAATAGTATTCCCTTAAATTCATATACCACAACTTATTCAGTCATTCCCCAATCAATGGGCATCCTCTCAATTTCCAATTCTTTGCTACCACGAAAAGAACTGCTATAAATAGTTTTGTACATGTGAGTCCTTTTTCCATTTTTATGATCTTTTTGAGATACATAAGAAGTGCTATTGCTGGGTCAAAGGGTAAGCACGTTTTTATAGCCCTTTGGGCATAGTTCCAAATTGCTCTCCAAAATGGTTGGATCATTTCACAACTCCACCAACAATGCATTAGTGTTCCAATTTTTATCATTTTCTTGTTTTGTTATGTTGGCCAATCTGATAGGTGTGTTGTGGTACCCCAAAGCACCCTGGGATAGGGGCAAGAGCCTTGGGTTCTAATCCTGGCTCTGACACTAAAAGCAGCTGTTAGTCACTTTTCTGCGTTCTTTTGATTTGCATTTCTCTAATCAATAGTGATTTAGAGCATTTTTTCATATGACTAATTTATATATTTCTTTATCCCCTGCAACACATGTTGGAGTAAAAGCTACAGCTATCTGCATGGCAGTAATTCCTGTGTTATGCTTATCATATAAGACAGGATGATGACCAAGTGTCTCACGTAAAGACTTTTCTTGGTGTCCTTGAGTGTAAGGAGAATCTAGAGACGGTCTTTAACTTTTTTGTCTCCCTGTCTCCCCCTTATCCCTATTTACATTAAGAATTTTAAAAATATTTATTCTGTAATTTAAATTTATTTATTTAGTATGTGAGTTATTTTTGTTCTTTTGAATTTTGAGTTACAGATTCTCTCCCTCCCTCCAGCCCTTCCTTCACCCATTGAGAAAGCAAGCTGTATATCAATTATACATGTAAAGTCATGCAAAAACACATTTCCATATTAGCCATTACATTGATAATATTAATATGGATTAGTTACTTTCCTCCAGTTGAATGATTTACAGACTTTAGACTCTAAATATGAGATTCTTATTCAACCATTGAGTTTATGGAAGGAACTTAACTACATCCATACTGATATTCTCCATCTAATGTGTGTGTGTGTGTGTGTGTGTGTGTGTGTATGTATGTGTATGTGTAAAACTTTTAAAGAAAGAAGCCTTTCTAGGAGATGATTTGGGAAACTGGGAGCATAGTACCTTTCTTCAAGAGTCTGAAAGTCTATAATGTGGAAGAGGGTTAGGCTTGTCCTGTTTGCCCCAGAGAACAGATCTAGAAGCAGTAAGTGGAAATTTCAGAGAGGTAAGCTTAGAATCAGTGTAATGTAAGGACAATTTTCTGACCATCAGTGCTATCCAGTAGTCAAATTGGCTGCTTTAGTAGTTGGTGACTTCCCCTTTATTGGAAGACTTCAAGCATCTTCATCTACTTGTTCAGAATGTTGCAAAGGGGCTTCTTAGTACAAATTGAGGTCACTTCTAGTTCTGGTCTTCTGTAAAGAATAGTTTAACATCATAAGCTTATAGATTGGGTTAGAAGGGACTTTTAAGACCATTAAGGGCAATTCCCCCCCCCCCCTTCCATTTTCCAGACAAGGAAGCTGAGGCCCAGAGAGCTGAAGTGGTAGCCTTAAGGTCACTCAGGGGATGGCAGAGCAGGGATCTGAACCCAAGTTCTCTGATTGAAAATCTAGGGTTTTTCCATTTTGCTTCTAGCTAGATCTGTGAAAATTGAAAGCAGGAAAAAGGCTGGCATGATCTTTGAAACACTGTAATATAAAAGTGAGCCATATGGTTCAACTTAGAAAAATGTGTTAAATAATATAATTTTTCCTATCCTCTCACTCAGGTTATGAATAAATATTCTTAAAGATTATATAAACATACTTAGATTTTTTTTCTTTTACCCATTCTCTTGTTATGGTTGACCTTATTAGTTATTAAGAACTGATGAGTACACACGACCTTCTTCCCCTCTCCATCTATGGCTGTTGCATCCCAGTCTGCTGATGGTTCCACTTGATTACTAGCATGCACTTCCTTCCTTCCCACCTCTGTTGTAGGCCAGGTCTGGCTTAGTTCAGCCTTGTAGTCCAGGTACAGGATTGGAATGAAACGAGACACTTGTAGATCAGCCAACAGCTAACAAAAGGAATTTTACTTAAGTGTACCTTGAAAAGGATATTCAGCAGGATAAAGCATTGAGTCAGTTTGGCATAGGGTCCGTGGCAGTGCTGCCGCACTGCCTCTTATTGGCTGTGTGACCATGGCAAGTACTTTAATCTCTGGGTGTGTTAAGCAATTCCCTAGGACTTGTTTATCAAGTCATATATGGATTGTAATTAGTGTTGGAGAGGAAGTTCTCACACTGGGAGTTTATACTAATGAAATCATAGCTCTTTCCTGTGTTTCTTTTCCAGACCCCACTTCGTCATTACTATGAATCCTATAAAGGTGGTTTAAGGTTAAATGTGCTTTGCTTTGTAGAATGTGTACCTTTCTAAAGTTGCTTATAAAGCTGATCTTACTTTCCCTTTAATTTCTGTAAGTACATAAGAGATGTCTTCTCCAACCTCCTGCCTTGCCTTGATGGCAGCATGAGTCAGGAAGAATGAGACATTTGAGCAGATTCTAACTACTCCCCACTGGTCCCATCACTTAAAAGCCAGCAATCACTGTATTACCTGATTACCTCTGGTTTTACATATTTTTTGATCTGCATCTATGCCATCAACACGAAAGGGAAACAATGGCAATATGTACTAATTGTTAAATTTTGACTAATTCTATTGAGTAATTATGGTGGAAGAGAGCTCTATTTGGACAAATAATATTATATGAAATTTCTGAGAAAAAACTATTCAAGATATTGATAAAATTTTCCATTTTCAAAATATGCCTACAACTTAAATTTTATGTAATTTTTTTATCCATCAGAGAGAAATCAGTGCAAGGAAGAAATACAGATTAGAACTATAAACACAGAGAGAACAAAGGAATTACCAACAGCCGTTATTAGTCCTGAGAGACGGTAGGTGTTTAGTTACTTAAATGCTGAGTTCACCTAAGATGTGACCAGATTTCCTCATGTAATATATGCTTGATATGTTATACACACACCTACACACACACACACACACACACACACACACACACACACACACACACACACGCATGTGCACACAATGATATGTTATCAATTTATCTGTTATCTGTTTAAATTATTCTCTGGAGAAATGTAAATCAAAACAGCTCTGAGGTATCACATCACACCTATCAGATTGGCCAACATGACAAAACAGGAAAATGATAAATGTTGGAGAGAATGTGGGAAAATTGGAACACTAATACATTGTTGGTGGAGTTGTGAAATGATCCAGCCATTTTGGAGAACAATTTGGAACTATGCCCAGAGGGCTTACAAAAATGTGCTTACCCTTTGATCCAGCAATAGCACTTCTAGGGCTATATCCCAAAGAGATCAAACAAATGGGAAAAGGACCCACATGTACAAAAATATACATAGCAGCTCTTTTTGTGGTGGCAAAGAATTGGGAATTGAGAGGATGCCCATCAATTGGGGAATGGCTGAGCAAGTTGTGGTATATGAATGTAATGGAATACTATTGTGCTATAAGAAATGATGAACAGGCTGACTTCAGAAAAATATGGAAAGATGTATATGGTCTGATGCTGAGTGAAGTGAGGAGAACCAAGGGGACTTTGTACACAATAACAGCCATGTTATGTGATGACTAATATTGTTAAACTGAACCCTTCTCAGCATTACAAGGATCTAAGACATCTCCAAAGGCCTTGGGATGGAAAATGATGTCCATATCCAAAGAAAGAACTATGGAAGTCGAATTGCTCTCACTTATTTTTACCTTCTGTTGAGTTTTGTTTCATCTTTCTGATGGTTCCTCCTATTGGTTTTAATTTTTACTTACAACTTCACTAACGTGAAAATATGTTTAATAGGATTATAAATGTAAAACCTATATCAGATTGTGCGCCGTCTTGGGGAGAGTTGTGGGGAGGAAGGGGGAGAAAAATTTTCAGCTCAAAAGTATATGGAAGTGATCGTTAATAAAGCAATAAATTAATAAAATCGGGAAAAAGAAGAAAAAGAAAAAAATAAGTTATTCTCTAGATTACAAAATCCTTCTAAGTGCTGCTGGACCAAATCTAGTCTGACATTACTGAATTAGTGTATGAAGCAGCTGAGTGTATTGTGCAAAGAACCCTGGGATAGGGGCAAGAGCCTTTGGTTCTAATCCTGGCTCTGACACTAAAAGCAGCTGTTAATCACTTTTCTGAACTATAGGGTTTTCTCCCTCCTTTCTGTAAAATTAGGGGATTAGTTTAGAATTGGGGTAGGGAACCTGTGGCCTCGAGGCCACACATGGCCCTTAATAAAAGGATTTGTTCTGTGAAGTCTGGATTCAGTCAAAGGGCTGCACTTGAGGACCTAGAGGGCCACATGGGGCCTCGAGGACACAGGTTCCCCACCCCTGATTCTAACCTAATTCCCCCTAATATTTCAGAAAGGAGGGGGAAAATCCTTGTAGTTCAGAGAAGCCACATGTGGCTTCAAGGGCGCAGGTTCCCCACCCCTGGGTTAGATTATTTCTCAGATTCACTCCAGATGTTTGATTCTATGAAATAATGATTGAGTTCATTGTGCATTTCCTGTGAGGTGAAGATTACAAGACTGGATTTAAATCTTGCCTTTGATGCTTGTGTGACCTCTCTGAGTCTCTGTTTCTTCCTCCTGTAAAATGAAAACTAGATGATCTGCAGAGGTTCCTTTTAGCCCTAGCTCTATATCCCTGTGAGCGTATGAATCTTTTAAGCTCCCTGAGCCTCAGTTTCCTTATCTACAATAAGATGGGTTTGAGTCTGAACCCTTGAGGTTCCTTTCAGCTCTAAATTCTGTGCTATGCAACCCTACTTTGATACCACATCTGGGCACTGAAGAGACACGAATAACTTTCACCACTTTGGACCTGTTTTACTGTTCACTGTGTTTGTCCATAGATAGTTTTGTTGATTATCTCAAGATTACAAAGACATATAATAATAATGATAGCTAACATTTATATAGCACTTACTATGTGCCTGGTGTTGTGCTAAATGGTTTATAATTATTATGTCATTTTTTCCTCACAACAACCTGGACATAGATGCTATTGTTATCTCCATCTTACAGATGAAGAAACCAAGGCAGAGGTTAAGTGAATTGCCCAGGGTCAAACAGTAAGCAAGTGTCAGAGGTTGGATTTGGACTCAGGTCTTCCTGATTCCAGGCCCAGTGGTCTATCCACTTTGCCAACAATTTGACAAACAAAACTCAATTTTTAAGTAAACTAAAAATGCCAGCTTACATAAATAAACAAAATAAATTGTTGGGAAGCATCTTAACAGGAGGATTTTTGCAGCCAGTATTGTTGTGTAATTGGGAACACTTTACAAACAACCACGTTCTTCTTATTGAGTATGTTGTTTGTGTGTTGTTAGATTTAGGAGTAAAATTAATCCAAAAATGTAAATGTTTCAACAACTAGCTTTTTTTTATACTCTTCATAGTTATTAAACACTTAATTTTAAAAAGGTCTTGCCATAAAGGTTTTGCTGAAACTTTGTTTCAAGTGAGAGGGTCTGCCATTATGGAGATTTTTGCAGAAAGTTGACATAAACTTGTTATATAAAGGATAGTATGTTGAATAATGTTAGGCCAATAACTAATTTTCTGGCTAAATTTTTCTTTTTAAGATGCCGTTCAGTGGAATTGGATCTTAATCAAGCACATAGAGACAGTCCTCAAAAGAGAAAAGGAACCAAGATGTTTGGAAGTCTTGAAAGGGGATTGGATAAAATGATTACAATGCTCACTCCAAACAAGAAGAAAGGATCTTCTAGAGATGGGCCAAGAAGGCTAAGGGTAAATTTACTTTCAAAAAGCAAAGAAAATATACATTGAGCTTAATTACCATTGAGTTTAATGTATTTCTACCCCAAATTTCCATGTTGGGGGGAGGGGGAAGTCAACCCTTCTTTGGTTCAGATAAGAATGGAGTTCATGAGATGCTCTTTCCCCCAAACCTTTCCTCTGTGCTTTTATATATATATATCTATATATATCTCTCTCTATATATATATCTTCTCGCTTACCCCAAGTTTGTAAAAATATTGATTTCTTCCTTCTTTCTTATATCTTCTTTTTCTGTTACATCTTTCTTCCTCTCTTTTTTTTCCTTACATGTGGAGTTAATCTGTTTGCTTCTTGGTCATCTGTTAACCCACAATATTTCTCTGTTGTGTTCAGCATTTCCTTTTGTTTAATTATATTGCCAGCCTCAGTTTCTGGATTGAGACTTTATGCCAGGGCCAGATTCTGTTTCCTCCTATACTCTTGGATGTTAGGTCCTGTTTGATTTTGACCCATATGGTCTGAATGCTCTTGCCACCGTGGTTTTGGATTGGGTGTCTGGGGTGAGGTCCCACCTTCTCCTGGAATCCTTGGCTTCTGGGTCTATCTCCTGGTACCCAGCAACGGTTTTGGCTTAAGTCTTTGTCTATTTATTCCTTGCACAGTCTCCTGCCTAAAATAAGTTGTATCCCCTGTTATGGTCCTGATAGACCCTAGCCAGATGGCATTGATTGTACTGGTTACAAGACTCCTTGCAAGGCCCTTTGCTGGTGCTTACTGGGCACCCTACTGGCCCATCTTCTGCTGTAGCACTGGAGCTCCCTGAGTGCTGTTCGGGTTTTGCCTTCTTTTGTGGTTCAGTCTGCCAGGACCCTGGTGTACACCTACTGCCCAGCCCATTCTCCCTGTGTAGTGACCCGTATGGACATGGCTCTGTGTCCTGCTTCTACGCTATAGGGCAAGCATCCTGCTTCTGAATGGCCCATGTCCCATCTCTGGCTTTCTCCTCTCCCAAATGCTGACAGGCTTCTGACATTCTTAGACAGCTCTGGACTGGAGAGAGGAGCTTACTGCTATTTTTCTTTAGTTTTCTTCATCATCGTTCCTATGGTACATTTTTAGAACTGTACTATGCTTAGAATTTTTGTTGGAGAACTGGGTTCCCCTAGGACTTTTCATGTCTCCTTCTTAATCTGAAGCATGTAAGTCTTATGATCTTATAATTAGTCACTGAAGTTTTTAGGGATTTACTTATTAATACCTCTCTTTATCCTCACCAAGGTGTTACGAAATACTTTTTTCTCTTAAGTAGAAATTCCTTAAATTCTAACCTTATCTAAGAAGAATTAAGGTAACTTGATTATAGATGCTGTTAATCTGGCTTGGTGTATAGGAGAGACCCCTGGCCTGGGAATCTGTAGAACTGGTTTTCTAGTTCAGTCTCTGCTATCAATTACCTGGGTTACTTTAGGCAAATCATTTCCCTTCTTAGGACCTCAGTTTTCTCATCTATAAAATAAGAGTTGGACTGGATGACTTCCTGGGCCATTTGTGGTTCTAACATTCTTTGAAAGGAGCCAAAAAATAGGAGTAGAAATTTATAATTTCTTGCTTGTGATTGTCAAATTTCAATGTCTCTTCATTTATGTTCATGATACTTGTGTACTTTAAAAAAGTAGTTATAAAAGTGATACAAGGATGACCTGTTGTACCCATTAGGGTTGTATACAGAATTCATTGCCATTTAACCATTCTGACAAAAAACTTCACTGATTCAGCTTTGAATATTTAATATAGTCAATACTTTTACCCTCAGTTTTTCCTTTTTTTCCCCTTTTTTTTGTCGATCTAAGGTATTTTCTTTCATAAGTTTGTCTTAGAAGTTATTTCAAAAAGTACATCATGTGCAGCAATGCCTTGTTTTAATCAGAATCATTTTAAAACTAGAAGGAAGGGGGTTATTTAATTATCAGCTTTTTGTAGCTGGCTAGTTAGTTATTTAGTCCAGCTTTTTATAGCCAATCTGGAACTAGTACTCAGGCTACTGCTCCACGAAGCTGTGCTGTGAGTGGAAGAGCCTAGGCTAGGAGCCCGGAGACTTATCTCTCTGTGACACTTGGTAGCTATACTCTGAGCAAGAGCCTCTGTTCCGTCCTCTGTGAAATGGAGATGAAAATACCTGTAGTACTTACCTTTCAGATCTGTTGTGAGAGATCATATATGGAAGTACCCTTGCAAACTACAAACTGCTGTGTAAATGTCAGCAATTATTATTTTTACATGTAAACATATGAATTTAAAATCAGATAAATTCTTGATTTTGTAAAGATTCCTTTAAATGGCAAACCTTTTTATATGTCTTATTTTCAGGTTATTAACTGTAATAGAAGGTGAGTAGTATAGAAGCTTAAAGCTAAAGAGTTAGGAACTACTCTTATTGAATACGAATTAGAAAGTGAAGATAAACACTTCTAAATTTATGATCAAGTCTGTGGAGAAATAATTGGATTTATTATGTGTAACTGGAATACCTGTTATGCAACATAGCTCTTTTAGTATCACTATAGATTCTTTTGCCTAATTTTTGGATCTCTGACACCATCAGTTGTCCAGAAGAGGTATATACCATTATGAATTATCCAGACCGTTTGCTTTGGTTTTCTTCTATTTATGTTTCAGTACTTGTTAGTATTATTACTATAGTATGGGAAGGACAGAAGGAAAGTTAGATCTGGTAACTTGGCTATGAGTTAGCATTTCTGATTAAAAAATAAAACAAAATAATACATTTAATAGGAGAGAATGTTAAAACCAAAAACTACATTTTGGGATTTCACCAAGCTACCCTTGTCTACATATTATGTTGGGATTTTTATGGTAGTATTTGAAAGGCGAGCCTGTGGATCTCTAAGTCCGATGTTATGAGTGGACAGGAATTATTACAGGATAATAATAGTGGTGATAATGAGGCCTCTGTTTGCTGTTGGTTCTTTTAGGTTCACTATAATGTGACCACAACCAGATTAGTGAATCCAGATCAACTCTTGGCTGAAATAATTTCTGTCCTTCCAAAAAAGCATGTTGACTTTGTGCAGAAGGGGTAAGTACCAAACTCATGATGGAGTGTGAAGGGACTCTGTACACTTGGGTTTGAATCGCAGCCCTGATACTTCTTACCTAATTTTTCTGAGTCTCAATTTCCTTATCCAGAAAATGGGGATGATAATACTTGCTTAATAAACCATAAAATATTACATAAATTTAAGTTACATTAGATGATAAAGTCAAACCATTTTATAAAAAAAAAGCTGCAGTTTTTCATAGTTTATTTCTAGTTTATTCTATTTTACTTTTAATTTTAAATACTTTACTTCTACTGCTTCTGCTCTGCAGAAACACTACTCTATTGTTTATAGCTCAACTCAAAAGCTACCTTCTTAAGGAGGTTTCCTGGATCCCCCCATCCAAAAGTCAGCTGTCCTTCCTCTGAAGGACTTTTTTACTTCTCACATATACTTGGTAAAGGAAACACTGGTATAGGGTCTGGGGGAAATAATGAGTAGGTCAGTTGGATGGAAGTATAGGGTTATTGAAAGGGGGTAGGATGAGTTAAAACTAGAGAAGCAGGTAGAAGCTATACTTTATGTAGGGCCTTGAGTATATGGCTAAGGAATTTGGATTTTATGCCAGAGATGATAAGGAACCATTGAAAACCTTTGAGCAGTGAAGTGACATGATGAGGGTTATGTATTGGAAAGGTTACTTTTACATAAGAATATGGGATAAATTGGACTAAGAGAGACTGAATTTTAGAACTTTGGAGGTTCAGTCATAAGTGTAGATAAAGCATTCGTGCACTTTCAATGATTGCAAAACATGATTTGGTTTACATAAGTTCTGTTTATACCTTTTGCAACTCAACTGTTGCTTAAAATAAGATATGTTAAGTCTAAAACGAACACTGTAATAGCAAACACTAGGAATATATGCCAGGTCAAATAGTGTCATAATTATTGCTTGAAATTCTTTTTTAACCTCATCACAAAATGAGTTCACCAATCTTCCAATAAATGAGGGTGAGGGTTTTTTTGTCTGAAGCTAAGCGGATCCTTAGAAATGGACCATTCTCATTATGTGTTGTGATAAACATAACCCTTTTGTGGGGAAAAGTAAAAAAAAATTCCTATTAAGAGGTCAATAATATCCTAATATGCAAAGGACAGCTATTCACAAAACAACAAGACAAAATGGCTTTTCATGTACTTGATTCCATAGTGAATGTGGCATAACATTTAAAGTTGACTCTACTGAAAGATTTGTTTGGGTGAAACTAGAAGAATGTGTGAAAATAGCCTGGTATGTGGTTATATTTAAAAAAAATGCAAAAAATAAACCTACCAGTATTATAATGTAAAAGAAGCTATTTTATTTGGAGGAAGGCAGAATTCTAGTAAAGCTTTTTTTTAATTCCTCCTTAGTATCCTTATTCAGTTTCCAGCAGAAGCCCCAGTCACATTTGTGAATCATAATAACCATGTTGGCTTGAAACTGTACAACCTTAATATGTGTTACTTGATGTGAAACGATTCTCTGTTTTATCCATTAGCCTCATAAAGGCTCAGAATTGTCTTATATGTCACCCAGACTGTTCATGGCTCTCCTATTAACTACTTTCTTATCTTGTTTTTCACAGCTATACACTGAAGTGTCAGACACAGTCAGATTTTGGCAAAGTGACAATGCAGTTTGAGCTAGAAGTATGCCAACTTAGCAAACCTGAGGTGGTGGGTATCAGGAGGCAAAGGCTTAAGGGTGATGCTTGGGTTTACAAGAGATTAGTCGAAGACATCCTTTCTAGCTGCAAGGTGTAATTGATGCATGGTTTGTATAGCCTGCGGGCTAAATGTGGATGTTAGACTACTCCACTGAGACCATGGCTTGATCAGTTTGAATTTTAGTCCATTGGAGCCAAAAATGTATCCAAAAAGGATTGTTGTAAGAACCAATGTCTTTTTTCTTTTTAAACGTAAGACATTTTATGTATGAATTTAAGGCAATCCCATCTGTTGTTATACATTACTGTCTTTTTTAATCATGTACCTTTGCATATTAATAACTGTTGACTTTGTTATTTTCACTTCCTTTTGTGAATGTGAGCCTGTAACTATGCCTTTGATGTGCAGTTTCTTTCTGGAATAAAACAACTTAATGAATAAAGCATATAGCTCTTTTTTTTTGTACTTGAGATTATCATCTGAATAAAACATTGAATGTCTTTCTAACTCTTAAGTAAAGACCATTTTTGGTATGTTTTATCAGTTATCAAGTATGCCTTGGGCAGAAAAACAGATAAGAATTAATTTGCATAATTGTTTCCTATATCTGTTCTAAGTAGGATTTATGGAGATCGTTAACTAAGTCACAGCTGTGGTTATCAGAGTTAAACAACATGCTCAATATGTTGAATAAAATAGAATTGTCATCAATAAATATATTAAGCCTACAATTGTAGTGTTTGAACTATGAATTTACATATTATATTACAATATGATAATCTCCCTAAATCTTACCACAGGGCCTTACACATAGTAGGTACATAATAAAGCTTGTAGGAATGCATAAATATTTGACTAACCTTTATATTTATGTTTAACTTTAATATTGGCCTTGAAGGTTAGCACTAGAATTACTGGACTTTTTTAATATAGCTTTTACTGGACTGAACTGTCTGAAGAATGAATAGCTACTTTTCCTAAGCAATAGCGAACATTTCATTATACTAATTTCCTTCTCAACTGGATTTTTTCACTTTCAGTTAACTGCAGGATCATTATGAGTTTAGAATCACCGTTGTTAGAGATTCTGCTACTAGTCATTTTGGATCTAACAAAATAAGTACTGTAACTGCACGATTGCATTACAGTTCCATTGATCTCCATGGTGAGGTGGACCATTTGTGGGAGGAGATGAGCAAGAGTCACACAGGATGAGAAGGCCTGGATGGGTGCAAATCTGCATCATTGAAAGGAATAGCCATATTGAGGAGATCACAGATGCATGGAAACATTAAAGTAATTTGAGAAGCATCATGGCATGCTCCAGAATAGAGTCAGCAGGGATTGGGTCCAGATCCCTTCTGCATCTCTTGCTGTTCCTCCATGATCTCTTTACAGTCTTCAACATCAACAAAAACAAAAGCCTTTTTAAAGAAGAAAATGAATCTAGCCTGGCCCAGTCATTTTAGAGTCAGTAAATTCTTCTTAGCTAAAACTTAATTCTGCAAGTAAAGGGAGGAAATGTCTGGCAATATTTATTTTAGAATAGGGTTGTTGCTAATCTATTTTTTGTTTCTTGGGTTGCTTCCCCCAGTGCTTTAACTTAAAAGAAGACTTAAAATTCATATTCCTTATCTGTTTGTAAATATTGTTAGTTGCTGAGATTACTTTGTGGACTGACTTGTGTAGCTTATGTTAATATGTACCTGATAAGTAGCTTTAAATTGAACCCATCCTCTTGTGTCTGCAGAGTCCTTTCTTTGGGAGGTGAGAAGATAGTAGCAACCCTCAGGAATCCTAGCTCAAACTGTAATCTGGGTTTTCATGTTTGTGTTTTGCCTTAATTGGGATCATTGGATTCAGCTGGGCTAGCAATTGAGCTTTGTTCTTATCAGTGAGTATAGAAGACAGCTCAACCTCTGTCAGGCATTTAGAGCACTACTTGAAAATCACTATTGCTTTCTCTTCTCGGTGTAAGTAAATGTGAGTCTGTTACATTTTCTGTATTCACAGTATTTCCAGAGTGTAGAGAATTATTACCTACCAGGAACACATGACCCAAACGTTTACTCAAGGGTGCAATGAATACCGATTGTCAGTAGAAGCTTGTTTCCAGTGTGTTGGTAACTGGTTCATAGTATAATTAGTATGTGTCTTTCCTCCTTAAAATATGTATGCAAGAAATCATTCAGTAGCCAACTATTGAGCACCAACACTGTTGGGGTAGAAGCAAGGGAAAGGATTATATAGAAGTGAGTTGTTAATAAGACATTGAATTGAGAGAAAGCAGAGGTTTTAAGTGTAACACCATCATTTCCAGGAATTTGACAAAGAACAGTTGACCAAAGATTGGGGAGAATCTGGAAGGAGTGCCATAGGTCTTTTCTCAGACAGAGTGACCTCTTGAAGACAAAAAAGGAAGGATACCTTGAGAATGAGAGATTGGAAGAAATACTTGTGGAGTGGAGACAAGGAGAAGCGGAGTCCACAATACAGCATTATTGTTGTTTGTCCTTCATTCTCGAAGAGCACTGATGACATCAGGAGGGTGAAGTCTTGTTTTGTAAGTGAATTGGATTTAAGTGAGACCTTGCTGTGCCAAATTATCAGCCTCACTCTCTGCTCCACAGTCGTGGGAGTCCTAAGTCAAGTCCCATGTCCTGGGAGACATAAGTCAAGATGAGTGGTAATGGCCCAGGATTCAGTGGGAGACCTTGGCCTTTTTAAGCCAAGGTCTTTCCCAAGTCTCAGTTTGTCTGAGGTAATGTCCATTCGTTGGTTAAAAAGGCTAGATAAAAATTGGGGCAAAAGATGGCCTAGTTTGCCTTCCCAAAAGAATCAGTCTGGGAGGGGAAGACCCTCAGAGTTTTTGTCCAGAATGGAAACTATTTGCACTACCTTGATCAAAACCCAAAAAAAGAGCAAGTGAGGCTTGGGCAAGTATCTGTTATTGGCCAATCAGTGAAAGAGTGATTTGGGTTTAAAGGCATAGTCAAGTAGCTCCATTTGAATCACAATGGGCTTTTTCAAAGACTGTTTTTATATTTTTATATTCAAATATACATTTTATTCAATATATTTTATTTATTTTTATATTTGAAGAGTGCTATTTAAATCATAAAACTACAAGAGACAAAAAAATTTATTGTCCCCACTTTTTGAAAAAAATAATGATGGAATAAATAAGGAAGAAAAAAATCTAGCCCTCAAATCCCAAGATACCTTGCGAAGTATGAGGGATCAAAATTTATATTTTTTCAGACAGAGACAGAGCATCCACATGTAAGGGTATGATTCTTTATGTGGACAGAGAGACAGAAGGAGGAGGAGGAGGAGGAGGAGAAGGAGAATGAGAAGAAATAGCAGCTTTGCCCAACTTAAACTGGCCAGTTGGGTCTCCAGGGAGCAGCTACTACTACTCATTTCTTTGTTCTGGAAGAGGACCAGTGACATCAGGAGGGTGATATCTTCACTTTCCAGTGACTTGGATTTAAGTGAGGCAGGGCTGCCCAAAGTTGTCAGCCTCACTCTCTCCTCCAGAGTCTTTGGAGTCCAATGGCAAGACATAGGTCAAGATGACTGGTGATGTCCCAGAATATAGCACATGGAGCTAAGAAAGAAACCAAGAGACCAAGAGAAAAAGGGACACAGTATGGCAAAGTTGAAGAATTTTGTGGAGAACTTGGTAGCTTATAGTCCTAGTGTTTTTTTGCTGTCCCATAAAAGAGATGAGGCTATCAAACAGTATCCATTTAGTGCCTCTTGTCCTGTATTCTCCAGTTCTTACCCAAAACTATATCATCTTATTCGCCAGGAAAAAAAGTGTCCAAGGAAAAAGAGTAGACCTTACCCCAGTGACTCAAGCAGTGCAGTTGTCAGTCCCTGCTGTACTCTCCAGGAGTTCCTTCAAGAAGCACCTTCCCAGATTTTGAATTAAGGGGCCTATGATTTTTAGGCAGGTTTGTATTAGATTTTTAAAAGGAAATTTAAATTATTTTATTATTTTTTAATTAAAAATCTATTTTTTCTCCCTCCCTCCAATGGAAAAAAAGAAAAAAATCTTTGTAGAAAATACATATAGTTGAGCAAAACTAGTTTTCCACAGAAATAAGTTTGGTAGATTTAAAAAAAATTAAATATCTGATGCTTTGGTAGGTTGCTGGTGATCGAGTATTGCTAGTGGGAAAAATGAGCTGTCAGACATTTTATACCTGGATGTAATTCAATTCAGCAAGCATTTTATTAAATACTTACAATGCTCCAGGCACTGTGCTAAGTGCTTTTTGTAAATACTTCATTTGATCCTCACAACTGTGAGGTAGGTGCTAATATCTCTATTTTACTGTTGAGGAAACTGAGGAGGACCAAGATTAAGGGACTTGCCTAGGGTCACACAACTGGTCAGTGTCTGAGGCTGTTGTTGAACTCGGGTCTTCCTGACTCCAGGCGCGGCACTCTATGCACAGAGCCACCAGCTGCCTCAGTAGAAAGGAACTTAGGTACTATTGAAGCTAATAATTTCATTTTGCATATTAGGAAACTGAGGCAGAGAAGTGATATATCCGTGTTTACACAGATAGTGAAATAGCAAAGCTAGGATTTGATTTGACATTTTTTGACTTTAAAGTGTCGTTTTTCTTTTAAACAAAACCATTAAAAACTCTCCGCTTTGTTCCTTCACTGATAGCATTTTCTTCTTAAATATGGCTCCCTAAATTGTGCTCATGTTAATGTGCAGTACACTTCCTTTTTTAAATACTCTAATAGGCTTATTATTTCAGCTATTTATATTTAACATTAAAGTTTAATCATGAAGTTGTTAGCCATAAAAAATTATTAAATAAGTGAGTTTTAAATTGAGTATGAGACATTTGAAAAAATTAGTGAATATTTCTGAACACACACTTGGAATATAAATTTATGCATAGAAAACAATGGAGAATTACAATTAAGAGCTCTGGGGATCTCAAACTGATTTGTCCAGCTATTACATAGTCATTTCAATTTAAATTAAAATTTTAACTATTTTCTAGTCTACTAAAAATATGTGGTGTCACATTAAGAGTTTTAATAGAGCTTTCTCTAGGGAATGCAAAACTGCTGGTTTGCCTCACGTAAATAACTAGATACTAGTGATTGAATAAATTCTCTGCCAAAAATGAATATGATGGAAACAAAAATGACAGTGGATTATTTTATATCTCCTAATGAAGCACAACCCTTACATTAAACCAAAGAAATAGTTCACGCTGTATCTAATTCCATATTGCCGTATTACAGCTGACTGAAACAAAAATAATCTGCCTATTTTAAAACTCGAATTCTGGTGTCAATTAAACACTATATTTTGTTCCTGGACTAAAATATTTCTACCATTAAAAGTAAATTGTTATTAATATATGATAACCTTTATTCATGAAAAACTGGATTCATCAAGACTTCAAC